CCCCCCCCCCCGGCCCCCTTGGAATTGATTTTTCAATACAGACCCCCCCCCCTCCCACCCTCTAAAATCAATTCTCTCCTGGAGAACGTTTTCATGAGCCTCTCATGATTTCAGGATAGTTGAAACCCTCTTGAACATTCAGAAAGAGTGAATATGAAATTCTAATCACGAAAGGTGTTCCCCGAGGGGATACATACCTAGAGTTGGTTTTGTGAAGCACGTCAATTCTCTCCTGCGGAGCGTCTTCGTGAGCCTCTTATGGTTTCAGGATAGTTCAAATCCGATGATGTTCCGATTCAATGCTCACCGATGATCTGAGCCATGGGGCAAGTTTGTTTTCCTAAGAATCTTTTTGAACATTTCGAGAGCACATGTTTGAACATTTAAAGTGCATATGAACATATACTTACGAAAGGTCGCCTCCGAGCGGATAAATCACCATGTCGAACATTGCATTTTTGTTCCTGCCTCTCGCGTTCTCTTCTCTTCCCGCTGTCCTACCTTTCGTGTCTCCCTCCTCTCAAGTGAGGGTAACAGAAGGAAATCGTACTCAACACACTTGTGTGTTGGTGCCTTTCCTTTTGTTGTCCCTGTTCTAGTCTACCCTACCCGGGCGGTCTAAGACTAAAGTCCCGCTTGCTAACTTTTGCACATAATTCATGACGGCTAAGTAGTCAGTAACTAGTGGGTTTTGTAACTACCCCTACCTTTCTCTCTTGCCCTTCGGTTTCTCTTTCTGTTGTTCTTTCTTTCTAAGGCTTGCTAGGTGGTTATTAGGCTCTACCTCGATAATTTGCCATTCTCCGGCAGAGATGCAGGGCCCTCTATATCTTTTCTTCTTCCCCTTTTCCTCTTGCCCTTTCTGTCTTTCTCTCCTTTCTCTCTAAGGCTTGTTAGGTGGCTATTAGGGTGGCGCCTCGATTACTTACCGGTTTCCCGATACAGATGTGTGGTCCTCTACACCTATCTTTCCTTCTTGCCTTTTTCCTCTTGCTCTTTCTGTCTTTCTTTCATTTTTTCCTAAGGCTTGTTAGGTGGCTATTCAGGTGGTCGTGACTCTGGACCATCCACATCTTGTTTTTCCCCGGAAACCCTTTAGCGCGCCGAACCACGGCTCTGTGTGTGTGCCACTTCGGGACGCCAAAGTCACGTACCTGCAGGAATTTTAACACTTTCAAAAATGCTAACGAGCTCCCCTCGTTTCACCCATGTTCACCATTTCTGGTACACCGACCCAGCATTCTTTCAGTTCTTGCCAGTCAAGGTCTGTTGCAGCTGGTATCGTATTCACTAAAGGGGACTACCTTCACTGAATCAGCTCTTGCGAGCATCAATCTAAGTGTGTCGTGTTTGTCAAGCATTGTCGCGACTTTGTGGTGCTTGTAATCTTGGTCTTTGTGGCCTGAGTGCGGTTTTGGTCGCCTTGTTGTCTTGCTTGACTCGATATTCGGTTCCATAATCAAAGCGAGGGGCCAGGGCCGGCAGGGGCGAGCGAAGTGTTCATCGCAACCACGAGTCGTGTGCATCTCAATAAACCATGAATATGGCGAGTCTTGCTACTAGGAGCAAGGACGTTGTTAGGTGGAGGCCATCGCAAGTAGGTTGGAGGCAGTCGCTGCTAGCAACAAAGGGCATTGGATCCTGGAAGATGGTGAGCCTGCAGGATTATTTCTATGATTGGCGCCCTGAGAGCTCGCTGGTTGAAGAGATGCAGGCCGAATTGCTCAAGGCCAGAATCCAGGACACCCGCAACATTTGATTCACTTCTGTGTTTATAGAAAGGTTGTTGCAACGCATTTGCATCCACCACAACATTTGCCTAACCACATTTAGCGAGCAGTTTGCGCAAGAAACTGCTGAACTTTGATCTTGGCAATTGAATAAACAAGCTGCATACTGTGATTGCTTATTTGTTGGTTTTAATCATGTATACAGTATACTGTGCAATTGTTCACATATTCACAGCAACCGTGAGAGGGTGAAGATAGCCCAAGCTTGCATGCACCTTTTCTGGCATTCTTCAGTGACTGTCCAATAACTCTTGACTTTCAATAAACCTCGTGTAGGATTCTATGGCATACTTGGACTGCTGCCCGTATCAAACTAAGCGGTTGTGATTCGTCACTCTTTGGCAATTTCATGACTCTGTGCCTCAACCAAGGGCAGATGGTTTTGTCTCATCTTTTGAGCTCTTCTCAGCTCTCCGGCAGTGGCATGTGGTGCACAAGCGTTTACAGGCTGCAGAGCGGCTCAGGCGTGGATGCATGCAGACATTGTGCGTATGGTTTGAAGATCACAGCTAGGGCACAACAATTGCACACCAACACGCAAATATCACTATGATACATAGACCGTTCTTTGCTGAGACACTTTCTGGACTCAATTGGATCTCCAACTCTGATGAGGCTGCAGGGGAAACAGCACAAGGTTCACAAGCTCGAGCTTGACTTTGCAACGAAGTTGCTTGCCAAGTTGTTCTACCAATCAAAGTTAAACAGCTCCATCGACGATGTGTTTTTACCAAGATTTTCTCATTGGCAGCAATAGAATGCTAGTAATCAATATCACATCCTCATTGCAGACAATTGATGTGAGGGTTTCAAAACAAACATTTGGGCTGTGCACATGTTCCAGAAACATGTGGTTGGGACACAGCACACTCTATACATCGTTATTGATTTACATATATTCCTTATGAAAACACATCAGGGCATTGGGTGCCAAAACGGGCAGGGTGAGCTTTCATAACTGAGGGTTGTCCGATTGCATCCAATTGCCAGATCCGCTCTTTCGAGAACGTGTTGCGATCTCCAGGAGCTTTTCCTTGGTGACATCTCCGAGTAAGCAAGCCCACGACCATATGCTCGAACTGCACAGTAGGCCCTGCGGTCTTGTTCCGACTTGTGCACCTTGCAGATGTACCCAGGTATGCTGGCTTTGCCAAAGCTGAGTTGTGACGCGGCCCACGTAAAATTGCAACATCTCCGGGATGAAGAGCTGTTTCTTCCCTGCAAGTTTGCAGACGTGAGGTATGAGAACATGCATGAAGATGCAAGAAGAAAACAGAGATGAACAATAGAGGGGGCCTTGTTCCTTCTTTCAATATTTTCATGTTTTTTTTTGTTTTTTCTTTTTCTTCTTCTTCTTTTTCTTCTTCTTCTTCTTCATATTTTGCAACTTGGCAATCGTGTCCGGTGACATGCTGCAAGATTCGGCTCCAAGAGCAGCCCTAAGCTCGGGAGACGCAAAACTCTTGGAACATATTATTGTTTTTCCGGATCGAACGGCCATGCTTTTGCGGCTGCTGCTGTTGCTTCCATGGGCAGCATGCGAAGTGAAGATCCCTACAGTGGAAATCGCCAAGGGCGTTCAAATGCCTGTGATGTCCATAGGTCAGCTGGCCTTTGATGTCACCTGTGCACTTTTTTAGTTGCCGAGTCCTGCTGCGTTCTGCCTTGCACGGCAACGAATCAGAATGAATGCAACACGGGAGTTCTGTTCTCATTGAGGGTTCGATGAGTGGTTCGATGTGCAGAGGGTTCGAAGCACCGACTCCAGTCACCTGTTGGACCACTGTTGGACCAGGCATTGGTGGGCTGGAACGATCGAATGCCTCCGAAATCGTGGCCAACTGGATCAATCAAGGTGGGCGTGGCATCGACACAGCCAGGGGGCCCAGCATCGACACGGCCCGTTTTCGCTGTGAAACATCCATCGCTCCGGTGCTCCGAAGGAGAGAGCTCGACCCAAAGAGTTCCTGCCTGGGTATTTTGGCCCAGGCCTTGATCTACCAAGATCAACAAGTTGTTCCAGAGGAGAGTGTCCAGCCTACGTAACTGGTTGTCTTACAATCTTTCCCCGGAAGTCGTTGGTACTGTGTTAACACGTGCATGTATTATATTGTAAGAAAAAATGTATATATGTGTGTATATAACATGTAGACACACACCTATATATGTATGCACACATTATGCACCAAGACTGTCCCTTGCTTTCTGCCTTTGCTGCTTTGTTGCCAATCCAGCCACCGACTGTGCAGGAGCTGGCGAAGGCAGGCATTGATCGCAAGGACGTCTTCATTACCACCAAGAGACGTGTCGTAAATCCGACTGTCAAGGGAAATGCCTTGGCCACTTCAGTTGGACTGGCAAGGGATCTCTGCCATTTGGTGTAGGAGCAGTTCTAAACCTTACCCCAGGATGTTGTAGCAAGAAGAATTGCCGGATGCCACGAGCCCCGCAAGGGTCACGAGCATAGAGTTAAAGGACACGCCATTCAAAACAAACACATACAAACCGTACATGTTTATAAGTCTTTATCTATTGTTATGCGGCTTCAAACTACTCGTCCTGAGCGTGGTCGTCATGCGGAGCTTTTGGGCAGCGAGGGGAACAATGTTGGACTCACTAGTTTAGACGGTTGTGGGGCCAGACAAGGGCCATTCCAGACATGCCAAAATGGAAGCTGTTTCATTCGTTGCCACTTCCCACCTCCTGAATCAGGTGCATCCTTTGCCCTTCTTGTGGTGCCTCTCTTGACTCACTTTGCGTCATGGACCCGAGGATTCCAAGCTGCATCGTGCCCAGTGTGAAATTTAGCATCGAATCTGATCTGAAGTTGTTGAAAACGGAACCTTGGCTAAGAATCAGAGCACCTTCGAGCCCTGGCATGGTAAGATAGTTCAACAAGGTCTGTGCATGGGAAGCCTGCATGGTCGGAGGGGAATGCTCGCAATTTCAATTGCACGAATGTGCGTTTCCGTGGCGAAACGAGATGCTTTGATGCTTTTTTCTGTTTCTCCATACGTGCACCTCCAATACGGTCCTCCAATATGGCGAAAAACGAGCCCAGTGCGTCGATGGTGAGGACTACATCGACCTTTTGCTGATCCACGACCCCATCGGCGACTGCCCCAAGGTGCCTCCTGCGTTTCCGCCGGCACCGCGCCGGTCGGTCGGTCCCGCGTGGCGAACGGTTGGAGGCCTGGTCCATCCTCGAAGACTACCACCGCCAGGGCGTGCTGCGAGCCATTGGCATTAGCAACTTCAATGCGTCGCAAGTGGACCGGGATGAGACCGAAGGGATCCGAAGGGCCGGGGTGGTTGGGGAGAAATTCCCCTCTTATGGGTAGACTGGTCTATTTCCTGAAGCTCCCAGGTGGTCTTTGGGGAGGTCTCCCATGTTAAATACCAATATGCTTTGATACGGTGCTCTTTTTCCGGTCAGCGGGCGGTGGGCAAGCACGTTGCCGTCGTCTTTCTCTCCAATTTATCGCGCCAGGAGTGCGCCGAAAGAGTCGGTCAAGGATTGTCACTGAAAAAAGTCTTTACTCACCATAATCATCCCCTGGGCCCTGGAAATGGAATATACTGTCATACCTAAGTTATGGGCGTCGCATGAAACATTTCATTCTTTGCGCCTGCGCTTCCGTATGCGTCGAAATGCTAAGCAAAGGCACCTTTTTGTTATGTTTACTCAAGTTCGCTCTCCAGCTTCGGCAGCCTCTGTCGGCTTGGTCTGCAGCCAACTTTGATCCTTGAAAGCCTGGTATGTTTCAATCTGGTCATGTCACCCATCTATGTCTATTCCACACGGGGGCTCCCTCACAACGAGTCTACCCCAGGCTTCCTCACAACCCAGCCGAAGTTAATCACACAACATGATTATGCAAAATTCAAACAGATTTGAAAGTTTGGCCACGAAAACGACCATGCTGTGAAATCGAAAGAGTATGTTGTGAAATCGCTGATGATATAATATATATATATCACTATATATATATATATATGAGCTACGGTCTAAACATGCGAAGACCACTTTAGTAAAGAGGGGTAGGTTTGTGCACAAAACCCTGCAAAACGATAAGGTCCACGTGAAAACCGATTACCCTAGCGCTGTATATGATCATAAGTTATCATAAGTATGTGACTGTAAAACGATAAGGTCCAATTCAAAACCAATTCAACACCGATGACGTCCATTTTTAAGTTGAAGAAGAATAAGGAGTTTTGACCGTCTCTCATATAAAATATATTATATCTTTACGTCAATTAAAAGAAATTGCAGCTCTGTTTGAGACGTATCCGGGAAGGTGCCCGGCAAACAATTCACACAGATTCAAATAGAAGATATTATTCGTTATTGGATCAAAACGATCAACTGTTGAGTCTTTTGAGCTACTTTGGCATTGTGGACTTTCTGCTCAAACGCATATATCTTCTATTTTATTGTGGGTTTTCGTGGTGGATCGCTTATGTGATCTTCTAATTACGCAATATCTTTTATTTGATCTCCATTTATATGTTCTATTTGACTTTTTCTGAACTTACTTGATGACTCGACAATAAGGCATCTCAAAATACAACACACTCGAGTCTGTTTTTCTTTTTTTCACTTTTTTCTCGGTCAAGACCAAAATGTTCACGTTGCAAGAGTTGCTCCCGGGACGGAAGATTTGGTGCAAAAATCCAAGAACTTGCCTCCGGAGAGCTCTGAGCTAGTTTGTCATGCTCTCCGGGAACCCCAAAAAATGCAAAAAAAATGTATTTGTTGCCTGAAATAGTTCCCGAATATTTATTTATCTATTTTTTTTAAATCTTTGTGGTACGGGCTATATATATATATATATGATAGATGTTAATATGTGTGCTGACACTTGAACTTGTATGAAGGTGTTTCCATACGTGAGTCATGTTCCCATACCTCAATCATGTACCCAAGTCCTGAGTTCGGGCCAGCGCGCCAGTCGAGTCAACTGTTTGCCGATCTTGACTCTAATGAGCATGATGAGCAACTCCCAACACCCGCCATGACCAATTTAGTAAAGATAGTAAAGTGCGGCGTGAGCTACAAAAGTTGGCTGGAACATGCCAACATGCCGGAACCAAACGATTGGGCCCACCCCGAAGTAATCAGGTTGTACCATGTCATCATATGTAATAACCATGTCGACATGCAGTTCTCGACTTCGAAAGAGGTGATAGGCCACCCCCAACGACTATCGTCTTGTTGAATCATGTCCTTGGTCACGTGATTCTTGATGCTTTGGCAAAGGCTCTTAGCCAGCTGGCAAGAATCACAGCCAGTCCGAAGTCGAGCCGCGACATATTCCAGGATACCTTGATGAAGACGGCCAAAGTCACCCCAGCTGCCAGTTCCTAAGTGTGCCGTTTGAAGGCATCAGCAACGTTGTCAAGTTGACTGATTGCCCCTTTGAAGCCTAAGGTGAATCAGATTGAGTTGAACGTACTGGAGTACGATGCGGAGGAGTGGCGTTTGTTGATGGTGGTGGTAATATGTTTCCTGGAGGGTCCTGCAAGGAGGAATTTGCATAACTTAGGTCCTACCTGAGGCATTTCCGATACTTTTTAGGATGCATTTGGCCTCAAAACTGGCGTGTCACACATGGCTCCTAGGGATGCTTTTGGAATGAGGCTTTCTCTGGAAGCGCCCTCCAGCGCGCGCCACACACGGCTTCGCCAGGCGCTGGAGCGCTCTAAGCAGCTGAACATCACAGTCGAGGCCTACTCACCAGTTGGTCGCAGTGGGCATTCAGGTGATATCCGCACCTTGCCATTGCAAATGGATGCGAGTTGAAACCCAGACATGGATTGACCCCTCCAGAATCATGAAAATGAAAGAGCAAGGAGATTCAGGAGGGTGGTCTTGATTCACGCCTACACCAGTTTTTTCCATCCAAAAAGCCGAGCCATCTCTCGATTCATCTTGATTCTTGATTCGTCAGCGGAGTCTGGATGCGAAGCCGCGGCCTTTTTGAGGTGACAACCAAGTGATCAAGTCCATTGCTGCGAAACACAGTGTCAGCACCTACCAAGATGCTCGTCGACAGATTTGGCAACCACGTTCGGAGTTTGCTCAACTCAAGGAGTTTTAGGGTTTAGGGTGGAGTTTGGCCGCAAGAGCATTCGCCAAGGTTGCTTTGAAGTGGATCCTGCAACATGACAACGTCATCACCTTCCAGTCCAGTTCTGCGGAACATCAGGTCTGTCGAAAAGGCCGGGCTTTTGCAACGCCGTCCTTTTGCACGACGTTCAGGCGCAGGATGCTGATGTCTTCAGATTCCAGCTGACCGATGAGGACATGAAAGACGCTTGGTCAGGACCAATCCACGTCGCCACTTTGGGTCTTAAGAAGTCTTACGACCAACAAAGATGGTGACATAAGCACACGACGAGAGATGCGACGAGAGATGCGACGCACGGATAGAGTCGGATATAGAGACATCCCACAACGAGACGCTTTTCAAGACAGCTTGACATCAGCTTGGGAGATTGCAAAGCGTGCTTTGTGTTGGTCCCTTGACCCACGAGAAACGACATCTCTTCCTGTTGGGCTCTAGGCCTTGGATCAGCTACATGGAAATTCCACGGGAGGCGTGAGGCCCATCTTGGTGTGACGAACGCGCTGGGAGACCAACCAGCAAGGCGTGTCACCCAGCAGCCGGGCGCTGCGCGGCACTGCGCGGCGCGCGGCGCTGCGCACCACGCAGCGCCATGTCCGAGACATGAAGAGAGAGACTCCCTGATGCCGCTTGGGTGGAGGGACAGAAAGCAAGCGCTTTAAATGGTGAAGTTGAAGGTCAAAGGTAATCAATTAAGACGCTAAGGTTTGAGCACTCTATAGATGTATATCTTAGATTATCTTAGGATGTGATATTGAATGATATTGATATATCTGGCGTATACACACGACAAGAGATGAGATTGGAGAGTCGATATCAACCGGCCGTTGGCAATAGAAAGGGAAACAGATATAGACACATGCTGCCACTTGGGATTCTTGGAATGTCGTCCCATTCCGCCCCGTGATGTTTGTGCGTTGGCGCAATGGGCAAGACGTTTTGCATTTTGCCGGAACAAGAAGCGTAGGAGCCGCCATCAGCCTGACATCAGCCTGACCACTTGTTTTCTCTCCGGATTTTAAGTGTGTGCAAGAATCAGACCTTCGAACACTTCCCAAATCTTCCCAACATCGTCTCACATCCCACCGGATGAGTTTGATGGGTGCAAACATCCAAAATGTTTCAACTCATATCACATCAACAGCTGCAGTGGGCACCTGGTGCCATGGAATGAGAATGACTGAGTCAGCCAATCGATGGCTGGAGCGATACGATCAGCCACAGAAACAGGCCGTGGAGACCAATTGTCAAACAAACATGTCCGTGAAACGGGGATGTTATTAATGTGTTATTTCATTCAGCTCCTTTTAGGACGCCATGATACGCCATGGGGTGCATGCATGCATGGTGATGTGATGCCCACCCTGCAAATCTAATCTAAAGACTTGAGAAAAATTGGAAACTTGAGAGAGGTGGACCTCTTGCAGGAGTGACACCACTGGAAGCATGGCAAGCACTGCAAGGGTCGCAAGTCAGCGTGATGATGACCGAAGAGCTGCGAGAAAAGGCTATGGCTGCAGGGGGGTTGGTCGTTGGGTCACTCAAACGTGTTACTCTTAAAGTCGATTTTCAGAGCATGTTGAATTCCCTCAGCACATCATTTTCCAGATTTTTCCGGAGGGGTTTCGATTGACAACCCTGACAGAGACCCTCAGGCGAAGATCGCTTTCCAGCGAGAGGAGGTGGTTTTTCTACACCACGTGGTGGCAGTGGCTTTTCCGGCGCTGCCCACTCTCAACGCGGCGCGGAAGGCGCTCCGCCAGGGGCGCGTGCTGGTGGATGGCGTTGTGAAGAAGCAGCACGATGCGTTGGCTCCGGTCCCAGGCCGGGTGAGCACGACCAACGGTAGGTCAACCGGTCGGTCTCCTGTGGTCGAGACCCACAGCCAAATGATCACCCCAAGCAGATCCCAGCAGATCTCCAGGCTTGCCATTCAGTGTTGTCATCATTTATTAACATTACACTAGCTGCGTACAAGTGCCCGATTGTGCATTTTTTGTATGCAATACCGGAAGCTCTCGGAATCTAGCTTGTGCAAGACGCACAGTTCTTGCATGTTCTTGGCCATGAATACTTCCATTCAGGTAGCATATTGTTGGCCCACCTCGGAGCAGTGGACAGCATCCTGCCACAGGTCGAAGGTGGGAGACTCGTTCCACGCAACATTTTGTCCACTCGTGTGGGGTGCACAGGATTGCTGCAGGCGTGGAACAGCAAGTCGGAGAGGCCAGAAGCCCGCACCTCGGCATTGCCAGAAGCAGTCGCTTTCAAATTGGTGTTGAGAACAGAGCGAGCACTCTTTTGCTCGGCTTCGTAGTCCACATCTCTGCCAGGAATATATCTAATTCAATCAGATCCCGTTGCTGGCTGGGCCGTCGCGTCCTGGAGATATTTATGCTACGTGTGTTCTTGGCTGCCCTAAGACATCAGATGCTATGTATCTCCAAATTGCGCTTTTGGGAACTGCACACATCACAGTCGCGCATCCAAGGTGAACAAGCCCTGTGGGATGCACTGCAAGCCCTGTGGTTTCAACACTGGGCTTGTGACGCTGGAAGGATACCTTCCCGCGTTGGTCGAGCCCCCTTTGACTGGGACACACTGTGCCTAGCTAAGCAAAGGGTCGACATGCTGCTTTAGCTTATGCAGTTGCTGATTGCATATCATTGCACTATGTGTATCTATGCTTGAAAAATGTTCAATTGTGTAATGACACATTATATATATATATATACATAAATACACCGCATAGTGATTATAGGAATATGTGGGACCATGTGACTAACTACCTCCTCTCCACATTCGAACGTGCATGTCTTGGCCGTCCAAACGCCTCCAGTGATTCCCATCGTCACCGAAGGGTCGCCGTCGTCGAATCGCCGAGGTCGTTGTCCCCGTGTTTGCCATCGACTGGACTTTCGCGTTTGTGGGCCCGTACTGGTGGCCACGGCCGAGGAGACCATGCGCCTCTTAGCATAGAATTGATGTTTCAGATTGCATGGCGTGCAATGGGCTTTGCAATGAGCGATTTGCTACAGTTGTGACGAATTGAAATTCTACTTTAAAGGTTTATCAGACCCCGTGTCCTTGTGTTAAGGAAGGCTGAAGGCATCCTTCGAGCATCGCAAGGTGAAGAAAGAGTACCGCGCCATTGCCGCTCGCATTGGTCCAGTTAGAAATCTCTCAAACACCGCACATTGCCGCTAACAGCGGTGCGTTGCACACGTATGACCGCAAGTGTCGGTTCAGGTTTGCGGACGTGTGGGGGAGCCCGGAAGCCACTGGAGCATCTCAGCACCCGTGGAGGGCGCAGATGCAACGACAGAGATCCAAGTTCTCAGCGTCGTGAGGTGTCCCCACTTTGACTTTTTATCCGAGTTGAAGCTCATTCCGGTGACCGGACGCCACCATCAACTCCGCCAGCACTGCGCGCTTCTCTTGGGAGCACCCATCGTCAACGAGGAGCGTCCGCTCTTTCGGGCGGCTGCAGAAGCTTGGCAACGACGGACTGGGAGTGCCTTGCCACCCTACCACGTGCGGGGAGGTGGCAATCTCTTTCTTCAAGCAGTGGGCATCACCTTTCCCGGTGACGACGATGACGCGGTGACCACGACCGTGGAAGTCTCGGTGTCCAGTCGCTTCGAGCGGTTGCTCCGGACCTCTCAGAGAGCCTTCGAGGAGGGCTGGCGCTCCACGAGGGACGGACGGACCGTGCAGCTCTCGGTGGATGGAAAAACGGTGGGCGTTGTTTGGGGGGGCCGGAAGAGCTGCTGGGTCAAGTTGAAGATTTTCAGAAGAATGAGGCCTTGCTATTGGCCTTGCTTTGGCCTTCATCTTTAAACCAACCCGTATCTGATGGTATCTGAGGGTTTTTGGCTGTTTTGGGGCTCAAATTTTTGGCTCAAGGCCTGTGAGGAGGCCGTAGTGCGAGAGCCAACTTCTTGTTCTCTCATGTTCAAAGCAGTGTACGCCCTGGCAGCAGATTAATATGCATGCTGCATTTAGTCATGCCTTAGTCTGGTTGAAGGCATTTCATTTCGGAAGAAATTTAGACCCGTGGCCCAAGAGGAACGATAAGAGTCATACCGAGTATACCATTTGTGTAATTCGTGTCTATTTGTAATCGAAGCTTCCTTCCAGACAGTCCTGAAATAAACCATGCATAGCACCCGTGTTTGCAAGAACATTCGACTCAGAGTAAGAGTGGAATTCAGAATTCGTTCATTCCTTGCACGGATGCTATGGCATCATGAAGTTTTAAGATGGGCTACTTCATCCAGATCACGAATGATTCCGGCAGACCAATATTCCAAGCTTCAAAGAATTATCCAGATGTGTCCTTTGCATCAAGCGCCTTGTTCCATGCTTTGATCACTGCCAGCTTGGAGCAGGGCTTTGTTCCTAGCATCCTCCGTGCAGATGATGCGATAATTGCATTGGAAGTGCATGGGGATCAAGGGGCACGCCTTGGGTTGGCCATGGTGACATCAGAGCTCGCGGCTGGGAAGACATCAGATCTACAAGCTCGTGCGTCTCGACGGCTGGATGCCCTTTACCAAGGAGCCCGGCTGATTCTGGGCAACGAGTTGCACAAGGCAGCCACAGGGCAAACTCAGGCGGAGGCTGTTCGCCGCATCTTGCTTGAACGACTGACACCCATGGTGTCTCAGCTCATGGCAGATGAGGAGGAGTCGGCAGACGAACCGTTGGGATACGGCTTCTTCTCAGACCACGTGCCTCAAATCATGTGGCCTCCTCCTTTAGGTCTTCGACTTTCAGGTGCTGCAGTGGAATGGTTGCCGCTCAATTGCAGCAGTCTTGGTGAGCACGCCCTGGAGGAGCTTTTAGCGCATTTTTCGCCTGAGCATCTACACGAATTCGCCGAATCTGCCCAACCACCTCGACCACCTGCCGTGCTTTTCTGGCGTGGTCGGGTCATAGCAGCCACACCTGCGTGGCGGCGTTTCATGTCAGTCGATCGGGCTCTCTTGGTGGCGATGGCCAACGGTGTGGGGCCTTCGGCCTTTGGCGAAGCGGCGCGGAGCCTCACATTGGAGGAGGTCGATGACTTGTGGGTGAGATTTCGGGCATCAGGGGATTCCTCCACTGAAGAGCTTCAACATCAAATGCTGAGCCTTCGGCTCTACCCAGACCAGAGGTACATCCCGCCAGAGCTTCATGAAAGTATTGGCGATGCCCGGCAAAGGGAAGACGCGTCCTTGGTCCTTTCAGTTCTGGCACCCGTCCAAGTCTGTAAGGATCTTCGCATCACGCTGCCACGGTTGCGTGAGAACGCGCTGGACTGTGCCAAGCAGGGGAGCTTACCATTTCTTTGGCAAAAATTGCTTGGAAGGACTGAGGAGCCCTTGCTCAGGCTTGGAAAGCTATCCGTGGCAATTCTGTTGGATGAAAACTCCGGTGATGTTGTTGCCTTTCCGGCACTCACGAGCAGAAGCAAGAACGTGGGCGAAATCAGCACGGGTCTTCGGCGGACGGTCTATTGGTTCCATGTCTTACCTCCTTTATCGGCCTCTTGTTCCCAGCGCTTTGTTTGTTGTGAAGGCTTTGTCATCGCGGCGGCTCGAAGGGAAGATGGAATTCTGTGCTGGGCGTGCTCAACCGACGTTCAGGGGGATGCACTCAAAGAGGTGCTTCGGCTACTGAAGCATTTGCCCAGGGCACCGGGTCTATGGAGCGCTCTGGGTGCTTTGGAGGCTCCCTAGGCCTGTGGCCTCAATCTAAGACAGTCAAAAGGGGCGGCCTGGGGAGAAGGGAATGTTGGGGAGAGTCCCTCTTCAAACACTTGAACTTGAACTTGCAATTATTGTCATTTTTTATCCTAGGCAGTATGCCTTAGCCGCCTCGGCCTCTTCATTCGACCTTATCATTTTTGCAGTTGAATGAGCTGTCCACTGCTTTCAAATTCAGCACTACTCAACATCCTTGAGTTTCTTCATTCCACAACAGTTGTGGCCATGAGTGGAGGGTGGGCGGCATGGCTACTTAGATGGGATTTGTAGTGATTTATATATAGTCATATATAGCAAGGGTTTGTGGTTATGAATGGCAAGAACGTGGGTGTGTTTGCGTTGTAGCCATGACCCAAAAAATGCCCGTCTTAGATGTGGCTTCCCACCTTCTTGCAGCTTCCATCAATCAAGTGGATTTGACAGTACACGGCAGAATGTATATATATATATATTATATACTTGTATATATATTATATACTTATATTAATCATATAGTAATCAAATTGCCAAAATAGCTATACAGAATGCAGATCGAGAGCAACATCCACATCAATGAAACTGCGCAAGGATCAAGTGCAACACTAAAAACACTGCAGTTCAAGAAGGGTTTTGCAGTTAGGAAGCTTGAGAAGGACCAGGGATGGCCATGTGAACATGCTGCCCACTGTGAGCTTTGGCGGATCAGCGTTGGCCGCACCTGAAGAGGTGCGGCGGCTCGGAGCCGTCGCGGCCGCTGCAGTTCCATCCGCATCTGAGTTGCATCCAGCTGCGCGCGTCCAGCAATGGAAGCAGAAGCTTCGTGGGTGGTTGTGGAACCGGGATTTGGCTCCCGAAGAAGCCAGGGACATCTATCGTGCACTGCTGCGCAGCGGACATGCCATCACGCTGCCGGAGTATTCCGACATCATCGCTGCTCTGGGGGCCCGCAGCTGCTGGGAGTGTTCCTTGGATGTTTGGCACCTCATGGGCTCTCGAGCCGTTGGCCGGGACCTGACGGCCTTGAAGACGGCACTGAGAGCCGTTGGAAATGCTGGGCAGTGGGAACTGGCCATTGCGCTTTTGGACTCGGCGAGCGGGACGCGGCTTCAGCCTGACATGGAGTTGTTCCTACATGCCACTTCGGCAGTGGGAGAAGGTCGGCAATGGATGCTAGCCCTGCCCCTTCTGCAGGAAGCCCAGCAACGTCATATCACACCAGATGTGTCATGCTACACAGCTGCAATCCGGGCCTTAAGTTTGGGAAATCAGCCAGCTCAGACACTATGGCTATTGCATGATGTGATCTCCATTCAGCTCAAGCCACAGGAGCGCTCGTATGAAGCTGTCCTCCGCTCATGCGGGGAGTTGAGTGAATGGAAACGTGCTCTCGAGTATTTGGACTATATGTTCCAAGATGGACTCAGCAGCACTGCGGGCGCGGGCAGCGCGGCATTTTGCATCGTGGAGGCCATGCAAAGCTGTGCTCTTTGTGGTCAGTGGTCTGAGGTGTTCAGGCTATTCCACGAAATGTCAGAGCAGCAGGTCTCTCGACCAGTCCGAAGCTTCTCGATTTGCCTAAAAGCATGTGAACAAACTCATGCATGGGAGGAAGCAGTTCAAGTTTTTGGAGAATTTCTTGACAAAGGTGGCCTTGTAGAGCAAGATTTGGTGGAGCCGTTGCTCCGAACTTGTATTCATGCTGGTCAGTGGTCCCGAGCTCACAGCTATTTGAGGGAACTGGATGAGTTGGGCTTCATCCCCACGTTTGCACTTAGCAAGTTTGTGGCAGAACACGCCGAAAAGGCCGGTCAAGTCACAGCTGTGCAGGGGCCGTTGCCTCGATTTGTGCGGTTTCGCAGTGCCTTGTGACATCTTGTGAATTATATAAATAGTGGTTCCCAAATAATATATGATAGAAACAGTTTCGATTACATGATTCGTACTTCTTAGTGGGGATCTACATGTCCATTGATTTTGGGGGTCTATGCAGACCAGTGCAGACCTGTGCTCCTTCTTGTCGTCACTCTTGTGGACCTGCTCGCCGGAAGACTGGATCAATGCATGAAGAAACATACCCACATGCAGAGATCAGGAGCCTGACTGGCAGATCTTTCATCACTTGCACAAGCATTCTCGCTTGCTTGGAATCACAACCAATTGCAGGTCGGGTTTGCTTGCTTGATGTTTCACAGACTTCTAGTAGTAGCCGCTATGGATCAAAGTGGTGTTTTATGTTGTGCTTGTTGACATTCGTTGACCTCAGTGAAGCCTGGTGCAGAAGCAACAACAACTGCGGCTCTTAGACCGGCTAGACGACCGACCGCTGTTACATGGCCGGGTCGTATCCTGGACAGTCGCCTGGTTGCACAGAGACCCAGCAGTGCAGCAAGGGCCCCTTATACGCCACACTTGATCCGAATCGCCGAATTGGGAGCAGCCTGGAGCTTTGAGCCAGGAAATGTACGAAACGCATGGCCAAGAAAGCTAAGAAAGTAGCGTCCTTGCTCCTGGCAGAAAGGCCAGGAGCCCCTAGTAGCGTCCTTTGTTCCTAGATAGTAGCGATGCCCTTTGTCCTCTACCCCCCTAGATAGGACCTTGCAGAACCTTGTAGAAAACCAAGAACGTCTTCGGTTGTGGCATTGGGACAATCATGAGTCTGCAGAGGCTCCCGGAGGAAGAGAACAAGGCCTGACATTTGAATTGAAGCAGTGATGGCCGGACTGACAAGTCAAATTGCTCTGGTTGCTTCAGCGTGGCACAGCTCAGCTGCTGCAGCAGCACAACTCAGAAAACACAGAGAGAGAGGAAGCGCACGTTGTCTCGTTGAGAGGCAGCGCTGATATTGCAGCCGTTCCTTGGCGGCTTTTTGTTTGGCTGGTCCAAGTCATTCAACATGCCTATGGCATGGAGCCGGAACCGGGATGCCGGAACCCGGGACTGCCGCGTTCGGGGCTGGTTATGGCCAGACATGGGTAGCCGGTGACTGTAGCGCAGCCCACATCCCTGGAGATCAATTGAGTCTTCAGCATCCTAGCGGAGCTGATTCGGTGATGGCGAAGCCCAGGGCTTTTTGATTGGGGTGCCGAGGCCTCATGAGGAAGTGCGTTTCCAGCATCTAGCACGCCATTTGCGAAGTGGACAGCTGGTGGCCTTTCCCACAGAGACGGTGTGGGTGGCTTAGCATGTGGAAAGCCTTAGCCTTAGCACGTGGAAAGGTTTGGCCATGTTGGGCGACTGAAAGCACGCCCGTCATGTAAAGAACATAAATGATGAACACGAGACAAAGCAAGCTTCTCAGCAACCTTGCACTCCTTTCTTCATCTTGTTTTTATCTGTTTCTTGACATGCATATCTGAATATCTCCTTTCTGCGTGCGGCGAGGTATGGGTTGGGAGCCAACGGCTTGGACCCAGAAGCGGTGCTCAAGATTTTCTCGGCCAAGGGCAGGCGGCAGATCTTGGTGCTTTGCGTCAGGGCTTATTTTTTTCCCCTTGAGATTTGAGCAGGGCACTATATTAGGCCACCGCTCTCCTGTGGCTGCCTATTTGTAAAGACATGTAAAGACCATTTGTATAAGACCATGATTTTGTACAACCTTGCAGCAACAGTTGACTGCACCAAGATTCTTTGCTGTCCCAGTGCAGGCCACTGACAGATCCATGTATACTACATGTGGCGAGTGCAGCAGATGCGCGGCAGACTCAGATGCGACGCTCCCTTTGTTCCCCAAACAGTGAGGACACACTGAGGGATTCTTACGGTAGTAGAAAAGCAGCTGGGGCGCAGCTGGGGCTCAGATCGCTGAAGCGCGCGGCCGTGAACGGCTAATTCGCTGCTATTTACAGTATATTCATGACTCGCGACATCGTCCAAGTGCACTTCGACTGCGCAGGCTCGCAGAATCTGGGTGTCTGCGGCGGGTGCTTCTCACGACTGCGCTCTCGTTGTGGTGCCGTGCGCATTTTCGTACATGGTGATCATTTTTCGTGGCAGGCGCAAGGGAAACCTCGTGTTTTGGTGCTCCAAAGTCGACTTTTTGTGACAGGTGCAAGGGATCGGAGCTGTTGTACTTCGAAATGCACTTTTCGTGGCAGGTGCAGCACTTTGGACCTGGTGGTGATCGTCGAGGAGCTCAGATTTCGTGACGGGTGCAGTGAATCGTGACTTTTGGACACACATGGCTCGTTTGCAGATTTCGTGGCAGGCGCAGCACTCTGTGACCCTCGATGTGCAGATTTCGTGGCAGGTGCAGTATTTTGTGAACCTCGAAGTGCAGATTTCGTGACAGGTACAGCACTTTGTGAACCTCGAAATGCAGATTTCGTGGCAGGCGCAGCACTTGGTGAACCTCGAAGTGCAGATTTCGTGGCAGGCGCAGCATTTGGTGAACCTTGAAATGCAGATTTCGTGACAGGTGCAGCACTTGTGAACCTCGAGATGCAGATTTCGTGGCAGGCGCAGCACTTTGTGAACCTCGAAGTGCAGATTGTGGTGACTTGGTGGACCTGCAAGTGCAGATTTCGTGGCAGGCACAGCACTTGGTGAAGCTCGAAGTGGAGATTTCGTGGCAGGTGCAGCACTTGGTAAGCCTCGAAGTGCAGATTTCGTGGCAGGCGCAGCGCTTGGTGAACCTTGAGTTGCAGATTCCGTGGCAGGCACAGCGCTTTGCGAACCTCGAAGTGCAGATTTCGTGGCAGGCACAGCGCTTGGCACACTCTCACTCTCTCACTAACACCAACCCTCACTCTCACTCACGCTCACACTCACTCTCACTCTCACTCTCACTCCCACTCTCACTCTCACTCTCACTCTCACTCGCACTCACTCACACTCACTCTCCCACTCTCACTCACACACACTCTCACTCTCACCCCTACTCACTCACACCCACCTTCACTCTCACCCACGCTCACATGCACTCACACTCACTCTCACTCTCACTCTCACCCACACTCACTCACACTCACTCGCACTCACACTCACTCTCCCACTCTCACTCACACTCACACTCCCTCTCACCCACACTCACTCACACTCACCTTCACTTCATCACCA